CTCTTCTTCTTCTTCTTCTTCTTCTTCTTCTTCTTCTTCTTCTTCTTCTTCTTCTTCTTCTTCTTCTTCTTCTTCTTCTTCTTCTTCTTCTTTTGCCCCGTGATTTAATCAGGCCCGCCTCTTCAAGAAACGAGCCATGCTATCGATGTTGTCTTCACCACAACCACAATATACTATTATAAGGGGTAAGAAACAGTACGACCAATATTTGTACTGAAATCCTGTTTCGATCGAAGGTTTTTTTTCAAATGTCTTTCTTTCACAACTTCAAGAATTCCGGAATTCATGACACAAGACAGACGTTGAGCAAAAATCGATTTTCCCAAGTTTAAAACCGTTTAAAATGCAACCACTCATTACGGTTACGATCTCAGGATCTTGCAGAGGTCATTCATCTGACTGTCACCCCCACAACGCTTTGCCAGTTATTTCCATTTTCAATCAGCAGTCGATGAGTTCTCAGTACAGTACTCAGTCACGAGATATTAAGAAAGGCTCATTTCCCGATCAACATATTTCGTGGGAGGGACTTTTTAATAACAGTTACAAACCCTGAGCCCATTACTCATAAGTATCAAAACCGCTCTAAAATTCCAACCCACCAGCTTTACCAACTTATTCATCACAGCCACACAGTGACGTCCGAAGGTCAAAGGACAGTCCAGAAAATGACCAGCGTCAAACGCGCGCTGATCTCTCCTGGGGCTTGCAGTAATCTCGTAGGACTTACCCGTATCGGTGAGATGGCCCGAGTCAGATTGACAATCTCTAAATGCCTTGCTTATAACAAATAAAAAGGATTTACTGTCAGCCCATGCGGTACCCCCTGCCGAACTACATGTTTCCAGTAGTCGTTGTTCTGTTGTTGGTTAGTTTTGTTTTTTCGTTGTGTTTTTTTTTCTCCAGGGGGGGGGGTGTAATTGTTATTACATGTATTATTATAGGTATTTTTAGTAACGGAGAGGGTGGAGGAAGAAGAGGAAGGAAAGGCGAAAAAAAAACGGCCGCAGTTGTTCTCAACAAGGAAAAAAAAGAAAGGGAAAAAAAACTGTTTTTCCTTAGACAGGGAATTTATAGCTAAACAGATCTTGTGACGAAGCACTTTGAGATTTGATCTCGGACCTTTGGACATATCGTCCGCTTATTTAGCAGGACAACACATACACTGACTTTGAGCTATACATCACTATAGTGTTTATAGACAACGCTGTATAGCAAAGTGTGGATAGACAACGCTGTATAGCAAAGTATGGATAGACAACGCTGTATAGCAAAGTGTGGATAGACAATGCTGTATAGCAAATCAAGTTTATCGTTTGTTGTTGACTCCAATAGGTAATTTGTAGTTGTAGGCGTTCGTACGAAGGATTACTGGATAAGTTAATCTCCACTCTGTAAACACAATCGGTTGGTTGCGTGTCTCGCTCGACACAGCAAATATGCTGCAGTTTATCGTAGTTTACGAGGGTGTATTATCATTGCCACTTTTGTTTTTGGTGAGCGGCTGAAGGGTGCTTTCGCTGGTGCTTCGTAGTTTGTTTCCTTTTTGTTAAGTATCATTGCTGTTGCTGATGTTGTTGCTGTTGCCGTTGCTATTGTTTTGGTATTTGTTATTGCAGCAATTGCAGTAGTAGTAGTAGTAGTAGTAGTAGTAGTAGTAGTAGTAGTAGTAGTAGTAGTAGTAGTAGTAGTAGTAGTAGTAGTAGTAGT